AGAGTTATGTAAAGGAGGACCTGTCGTAACACAGTCCCTGGCTTAGAGATACTAATTATAGCGGAGAGCAAAGGTCATGTGACTTGGGGTGTTACATGACTGAGGAACTTGTCCTAGTTTCAGCAGGTGAAGACAGGTCTGTGTCAGGGTCTGTTTATTGTATCAACTTCAATCCCGGATCATTTGTCCACATCTGCGGTTCTGTTCAAGGGCCATGAACTAGGATTCAAACCCCAGCCTGAGCCACCGCTGTGATCTGGGGGAGATTTAAAATTGTGCCAAAGAGGCAGTCCTCCGTAAATAACCCTGGCTGGCAGATACTGGAGACTCTCTCTGGCACTTTGTGTCACCTAGCCAGCCTGCAACCATAACACGACTGCCACGTGACTTCCAGTAAGCTGCAATTAGATTCAGCGCCTCATCTAAACTGAAGTCTAATCAAGGCCCCCACCCCCTGGGGCGCTGCACGTTGGCTGACCCTGTGCTTTGACTCCTAAACATGCTCTCATCCCTATGTGTGTCTGTGTTTCACGGAGAGCACGATGGGGGTTAATAAAGTTACCATTATTCACTAAAATTGCAGCTTCTCATTTTCCCCCCTCGGATGTTACAAAACCTCATAATTTGATGCACCAGCTCGACAGTTGATAAGACTGACCAACATGTCCTCAGCAAAATATCAAGTGACACCCGAGGCATCCTTTTCTTCCGACTCCTGGGTTTACAGGATCTTAATGAAACACTACCCAGCTTGAGGTCTGACACCCCCTGGGCTTACTACATTACCCTTGTGCCAGGCACATCTAAAACTGCTAGCTTCACCTACATTTGAAAAAAGGATTCTCTGCAAACTGGAATGAACATTCCTGTATTTCAGTGCTTCTCTGCCTGATCTCTGTATATCCCTTTTTTGGTTCAGTTAGTGACTAGCAGGCAGGTGCACAAACCACCACACAACCCAGAAGTGCTAACCTCGATCCGAGAAACGTCGCTCTACACACGGGAAACGGATTTCAAATTTCACGATCTGTGTATGTGCATCATGTGTTCCGGAACACAAACCTATTGCGGTTATCAAAGTCGTACTGCTCCGAGCGAGAACGTCATTTACTCAGAAAGCTTAAAATCACTCAAGTCTTTTACAACCCCAGAGCTGCCAGGAATGTAAACATGGCCCAGGATGTACAGTTAACGAATGATGTCTTCCCGTTGGTGTGTGCAAGTGCATTTATACATTTCGACAATCCAAAAAAAAAAAAAAAAAAAAACTCAAAAACTCCTTGTCAGCTTCGGCGGGTGTTATCATAGCATCTACCTGCCCAGGATGTGCGAATCGCCAGTCTCAACGCACAGCTGAGAGCTCAGGGCCTCGAAGATGGAGTTCTCCAACAGTTTCATCGCTGCAGCGGGAGAGAAAAAGACGCATATGAAAACAAGGCGTATAACGTGCAAAGTATTACGTGGTCGAAGTATTCTCTCCGAACGTTGATGCTCATGATGCAAATCCGATTTGTGCAGCCGAAGCAATTTACAGCAATTACAACCTTGCTTGTTTACATAAATGTCTTACAAAGTACAAGCCAACATTTTGATAGCATATTTTCTATTTTAAAATGGGTTGTCTTACCATAGCGAAATACATCTGATGATTTGATAACACCTTCAATGATTAATGTAATTATTTAGTGATCAAGGCCTGTGTCTGAGCACGGGCAGGTCAAACCGACGAGACCCCAACCCCGACGCTAATCCCACCCCTCCCCCCACACCAAAGTCATTTCCTTGTTCCTTTAGGACACGGTAAAACTAATCCAAAAACAAGTCGGCAATGGCATCCAAGTAACTCTTATCTAGTCACGTACAAAATGTAAGATGCCAATGGCATGTACCTCAGGCTGAATGATTGTTCTCACCTCCGGTGGTTTTAGTAAAGAGGATCAAAATCTCGTTGGGAATAAAAAATCTGCCGATTCTTTGGACAATCCGTAGATGATGTTGCTGAACAGCAACAATAAAATGATAATAACGTCGTTCCCTCAGAGGAGAACTTCGCGATCTCAGGGGCCAAATTAGCTTAGCTGCTCAGCTACACCGTCGACGCTAAAAACAATATTTTTTACCCCAACTCGGGAGGATCGGTAAGTACCTAACAGGAACAAGAATACGTAAACAAAATTAGTACCCTGCGAAGGCGTACGGTCGCGGCTGGCATCGTCTTATACTGCACCTCGATTCTTTTATCGAAAGACCGTTTTTCCGGAATAACTGAGACGACGCGAAACCCGACGACGGTCTGAGAGCCTCAAATTCAGACTGTAGCAGCATCCCCCTGTTTGGAAGGTCGATTTACGAGAAAAATAAGAGATCCTCGACGAGATCAGAGTCGCTTTTATTACAGCGACTTGATCTGTTTTGTGCTGGTTTTCGCTCTACTAAATTAACGGACTAAACGATTTTTTGGTCTAATGGCGCTGATCGAAAACAGCAGACTAGAAAACACTACTTTACCCCGCCCCTAGAATGGCTACAATATAATTTTTATTGTTAAATGCCACGCCTATCATTCTTGCGTAGCTAGAAAACAGAGTATTTTATTGGCTGTCTGTGGTGTCGTTCAAAAATTCCAGTACTCGATAGGTCGAAGGAACTGTCGTACATTATGCGGAAGAACGCTATTGGTTCAACTCGCGTCTGTCTCTGGGTTTCGGTTGTGTAGAATCTATTACTATTTATGTATTACATCAATATATTGCGTATAAACATTCACATACAAAATAAATTAAGTTCTAAAACTTGAACGTCTGCAAATATTAAAATTGCCAAACATAATTTTGCAAAATGAATATATGTTATGCTTCGTAAATGTCAATGTATCCGTCCATTTTCTATGTCCTATGCAGGATCGCGGGGGTCACGAAAGCTCTGGGCTGTGGCGCTGTATGTAACGGGGGGGGGGGGGGGGGGGGTAGTTAGGATGATTCCAAGGGTCAGTTTTGTGAGGGACAGGGGTCCATAAAGTCTTGAAATATAATTTTATTGATCTGAGTTGGGGGTCCAAAGTCCATAGCGGTGCCCTGGCTATATATGGGCTCAGGGCAGAGAATAACCCAGGATGGGGCACACACACACACCATTCACACGTACATATGAACAATTTGGAAACTCCAATTAACCTTAGCATTTTTTGGACTGTGGGGGACCAGGAGCACATGGGGAGAACATGCAAACTCACACGTAGAACCAGGGCGGACCTTGAACTCTACCCCCATAGGAGTAGGACAACATTTTTCTTTGTTCCCCCATGATCATGACAAGCGTTTCGAAAATGGATGCACATATTCATGCATGCAGTAGATTTGTCTTTGTAACTCTAACAGTATGTTTTTACATAAACTGCAAATATCATACGAGGGAGATCAAGATAAGCGGTCAAAAGATGAATGGATGGACTGATGGATGAATGGAAAGAAAGAAAAAGCAAAACTGCCACGCTCCCGTCGAGAGTGAGTGGATGGATGTGATTACAGTATATGATTATACACTCACCTAAAGGATTATTAGGAACACCTGTTCAATTTCTCATTAATGCAATTATCTAATCAACCAATCACATGGCAGTTGCTTCAATGCATTTAGGGGTGTGGTCCTGGTCAAGACAATCTCCTGAACTCCAAACTAAATGTCAGAATGGGAAAGCAATTTTGAGCGTGGCATGGTTGTTGGTGCCAGACGGGCCGGTCTGAGTATTTCACAATCTGCTCAGTTACTGGGATTTTCACGCACAACCATTTCTAGGGGTTCCAAAGAATGGTGTGCAAAGGGAAAAACATCCAGTATGCGGCAGTCCTGTGGGCGAAAATGCCTTGTTGATGCTAGAGGTCAGAGGAGAATGGGCCGACTGATTCAAGCTGATAGAAGAGCAACTTTGACTGAAATAACCACTCGTTACAACCGAGGTATGCAGCAAAGCATTTGTGAAGCCACAACACGCACAACCTTGAGGCAGATGGGCTTCAACAGCAGAAGACCCCACCGGGTACCACTCATCTCCACTACAAATAGGAAAAAGAGGCTACAATTTGCACGAGCTCACCAAAATTGGACAGTTGAAGACTGGAAAAATGTTGCCTGGTCTGATGAGTCTCGATTTCTGTTGAGACATTCAAATGGTAGAGTCAGAATTTGGTGTAAACAGAATGAGAACATGGATCCATCATGCCTTGTTACCACTGTGCAGGCTGGTGGTGGTGGTGTAATGGTGTGGGGGATGTTTTCTTGGCACACTTTAGGCCCCTTAGTGCCAATTGGGCATCGTTTAAATGCCACGGCCTACCTGAGCAGTGTTTCTGACCATGTCCATCCCTTTATGACCACCATGTACCCATCCTCTGATGGCTACTTCCAGCAGGATAATGCACCATGTCACAAAGCTCGAATCATTTCAAATTGGTTTCTTGAACATGACAATGAGTTCACTGTACTAAAATGGCCCCCACAGTCACCAGATCTCAACCCAATAGAGCATCTTTGGGATGTGGTGGAACGGGAGCTTCGTGCCCTGGATGTGCATCCCACAAATCTCCATCAACTGCAAGATGCTATCCTATCAATATGGGCCAACTTTCTAAAGAATGCTTTCAGCACCTTGTTGAATCAATGCCACGTAGAATTAAGGCAGTTCTGAAGGCGAAAGGGGGTCAAACACCGTATTAGTATGGTGTTCCTAATAATCCTTTAGGTGAGTGTGTATATATATATATATATATATATATATATATATATATATACATACACACACACACACACACACAAGATACACACACACAATACACAAGAATAACCGTATTTCTCTAAGTGTAGTAAATGCATTTCTTAGAACTTCTTTCCGCTATGGTTTGGAATCCATTCAAAACCCTATGGCCCTCTCACTTCTGTGGAGGCAGGAAAAGGAAATAAAAAAGTTCTCGATGTCACTTCCACTTTCTCCCAACCCCATGACTGTACGGTACAGGTGGCTTTATCAGCACTGAGTGACGGAGCCGTGATCGGATCTTCGCTCCGAGGTGTGCAATTTCATCAAGGACAATAAGGGGGCGTAGTTGCTTCCTGTTCTACCAAGTGAACGATGAAACTAAAGCGAAAGGGAATGAAACAACACACTTGATGCGCAGATAAATAACGGTCCTAGTGGGCGACGGAGTGAACTGGGCCTCATCGGCAGCAAAAAAAGGAACTTGGCGATTGCCGGTTTAAGACATTTCCCTCGCCCGCCTGGAAGGGGCCAGCGAAATGGCGCTGAGCTCCGGCGGGTGGGCTCCCACGCCTCCGCCGGCCCCGTCTCCTTCCCTGTCTGGGTTCGGGAGTTCTCGGGCCGCTTGTAGCACCGTGCTGATGTCGGTCCGGGTTTCGGTGTGCCACTCCGGGATCCGGCCGCTGTGTTTGCCGGGCGCAGGGGACGAATCTCTCCGTCTACAGCTGAGCATGATGCCGGGCAGGGCAGGAGAGTTCCGCCTAGCACTGCGGGACGCCAGTGACACTGGGACCGGGCGCAGCGTGGTAAGACTGGAGAGAGGAGGGGAAGCCGCGGGGTGTTCGGACCACAATAATGTATCCGTTCAGTGTTCGGAGAATGGAATCGGTGTGATTGTGACGATGACTCGGTCAAGCGCGGAGAGGAAAAAAAAGTTATAGGTCACGTGTTGTTGTTATTATTAGCTAACGCAGTTACCAGGGTTAACATTTCTAGGGCTAAAATGCGTACCTCTGAGTTGAGCGATATATCCAGGTTTTTGTTTATGTTAATATTATTTATTATTTGGTGCCAGTTGGCAGTATGTCTTTTCCCCAGATGTGCGTATGGTAGCTGGGTACATTGTTTTGAACTGTGATGACTCATTAGAACCACTCAGCCTTGTTTCACTTATTATTATTTTTGTTATTGTTGTTATTATTATTATTTTGTAGCAAAGCTTCAAGACAGACATCAAGTGCACTTTTGGATGACACGAATGTTTATCGAAAATTGTCAAACCGAATAGAGGCATGTAAATAATAGACCTCCATCGGACGCGCATAGAGATTTTGACGTCACGACTGACGTGTAGATGATACATTATACACACAGACACAGACACATATATACATATGTGTGTGTGTGTGTGAGAGAGAGAGTGTATTTTCCAGAAATATTGCATCAATTGGTACTCCGGAAATGTATGTAACAGCTTTACAGAAAAGCCAGCGGCATTTCGCGACCAGTTTGTGGTTGTGAATGATGTAATTCGGTTATACCCTTTAATGAGCCACTTGACCGGCATATCTTCAAAATATTTTACGTTTTATGTACGGGAAAGTTTGAAGCAGTGAATTCCTGCAATCACTATTTTTGAGAATTACAAGATGACTTTTAAAGTAATCTAATGTACAGCTAGTTGATAAGATAACACGAAATGCCATGCCATGCCAATTATCTTCGTAAATACTTTGGTTTGCAGGAGGTGAGAGGTTGTTCAGCCGAAATGAAACTGGTAATAATAGGGCTAAATTCAAGCTAAATCATTTCAAACCCACCCGTATCTGTCCGCATCTGAAATATGCTACTTAATTGTTAACAATTGTGGGCGTTCAGCAATGGGGTTTATACTCCCGAAAGCATAAAGATACTCTTTGGTCTTTGAGTTTTTTTTATTATTATAGTAGTAGTCACCTGAAACATGTAGTAGACTACCGTATGTGGAATAGAAATGTTGTTTTTAATGGGTGGCATGGAGACTCAGTGGGCAGCATTGTACTTTATACTTTTAGGGTTGTGGAGTATGTCCCTAGCTTGAGTTCTAAGTATGGAGTTTGCTTGTTTTTCTTTTGTTTGTTTGTTGCTTTGTGCAGTCCAAAATCTTCCAGCTTAGATTAACTGGCATCTCTAAATTTCCCATGCTGACATTATGTGTACTCTGATACTATGATAGTCTGTCCTGTTCTGGTTTTTCCCCTGCCTCGTGCGCTGGGTTAAGCAGTTGTGGAACATGGGTGGGTGTGTGTATGTGTGTGTGTGTGTGTTTATAATAATAATAATAATACTGATAGTGTTGATCATCAAAGTTAGATTTGTCATCCTTCTCCCCCTCTTCCCGCCTCAGTCCATTGCAGAGTTCGACCTGCGCAGTGTGAAGTATGAGGTCAAGTCTCCGCGCTGTCACGAGCTCTGCTTGGCCACGCCTCCACATGACCGCATCAGCTTCAACTTCCGCTGCGAGAAGGAGGCACAAGAGTGGGCTACCGTAGTGATGTCATCCCTCCGGGAGGCACACAGAGGTCCGTACTCCTGTGTGAGGCCATATCCCAGTTGCTGATGCTGTAATTGGTTAAGCCAATCATAATAACTAATACTGATGTAAGTACAAAATACTGTTGATTATTATAACAACATGAAAATATTTACATTTCAGTGGCAGTTTCTCAGCCAGCAGAAGAACAGCAGCTCCAGCTGGAACCTCTTGAACCCAGGACTCCGATGTCACTACCCCGGACAGGTCAGCACTTCCCCCTTCACCCATTGGTCCATGGCCCCTTCAGCCCGCCTTGTCATCCCGGTGCATTCTGGGTGACCTGATCAGCAGAGGAGTCATTGTGATTTCAGTACAATTCAAGCAAAATTATATGTCAGTAATAACTTGCAGTGTTTCTGTCGATGAAAGTATTTAGTACAGCTTGATGTATATTAAATTGTGTTGTTGATCAAAATACTCAAAGTACTAAGGATTACATTGAAATTAGTGCTGCAATTAAAATGATTTTCCAAATCAAATCAAATTACTTTATTTGTCACTGTCATTTTTTGATACTTTATAGAGTGTCGGTGAGTGAAACACAAAACTGCCAAACAGTGCAATTAGAAAAGTACAAAACATGCAACTTTATAGACAAATACAATGGACAGTAATACAGTAACAGGCAGTGAAAGGGTTTATTGAACAGAGTTTAGAATTCTGATGATCTGGTGGAAGAAGTTGTCTTGAAACTTGCTGGTTATGGACCTGATTTCTTTATGTATGTATGAAGTGGGGTCATATGGACATTCATATATCACACTGGACCCAGTCCAGTCAGTTCTTCCCTGCGAAACCCTGCTGCTATTTCTGTCTCTGGCCTTTTTCTTTGGGCTGATTGTTGTTTATTGAAATTCGAGATCCCCCTGTCCCCTTCTGCCTCCCTCTCTCCCTCCACCCCCACTCGGTCATCCCATTAATTCCCCCTCCCTACTTTCCCTCACGCTCTGCAGAGGACCTGTGTCTGGAATTATCTCAGGCCATCGAAGCTGGCGATACCCAGGGTGCCGTGCAGTGTGCCTCCACCCTGGCTCACCAACAGGTGGCGCTCAAGATCCAGCTGTCCGAGAAGAGCTACACCGACGCTGAAATTAAGTGAGGAGGAAAACCACAAACAAGCAGGAGTTTGTAGTTTATGTAACGCATATAACATTTAATGGAGGTTTTACTTTGTAGGTGCCAGAGAAGTTTAGAATGTCACTAGCATGGCTTTAAGATAGAAGGACCTTTTTATTAAAAAAAAAAAAAAAAGGCAGAGAGAGTGGAGGCAGAGAGGGGGTGTGGTCTACAGAGTGCTGACATGTGATTCGTGCTTCGGCTCATGACTCATTTGTCTCCGTGGTAGCCTGGCTGTCGTGGTGGAGGATGCCTCTTCATCCTGTTGTGTCACGGTGAAAGTCTCGCCCCAAATGACCATCGCATCCCTGAAACAGCAGGTCAGGGCAGAGGGCCATCGTGCTGCTCGCTTCATACCTCGCCGCTGCTGGGTGGAGCGCGGGATTGGCTGCCTGAATGATGTATCCGTGGCGTGCCTGTCGCCTGCTCCTTCTGCCCCGACCCCTGCGCCAATGCCCCTGCGCCCCCCCCTCAGACCTACGTCTCGTTCCTCCAGGTCTTCCTCGACTATGGCTTCCACCCACGGGTGCAGCGCTGGGTTATGGGCCAGTGCCTGTGCACGGACCCACGCTCGCTGGCCTCCTACGGCGTGCGTCGTGACGGCGACACCGCTTTCCTGTACCTCCTGTCGGCACGCCAGGCCCGCCTGACCCGCCAGCTATGCCAGCAGGACCAGGAAAGTGCCCTGCTGGCATCGGCACCCCCCGGGAACGGGCCCGTGTCACAAGACTGGAGGCCCTACAGCACACTGCCCTCCAGGCTGTCCCATGGGGGCACTGGTGAGACCCTGGCACTAGTCAGCCATCAGCCATAGAGACATTCAGCAAGAGCAATGTTGCTGTAGAAAACAGAAGATACTTTTGTCACGGTTGGTGTGTGAAGTATGCCATGACTCACCATGCCGTGAGCTGCTGATGGCTGATTTCTGATTGGTTGTCTAGGCAGCGCTGCGAGTGGGGTAGAGAAACTCGGCATTGGTGAAATCCGAGAACTCATCAACCTAGAGATGCCTCAGCTGAATGAAGCATTGGGCTCTGGTGTACAGGTAATAAAGATAAACCTGTAATGTACAGGTATTAACTGCCATTTATATACCGTTGTATAGAGTGTGATATACATGTACTGCCTGCTGTCTTTATATAATCAGAAACACTCACATACAGGTATTACCTGATGTCAGTATACAGTGAAACACTGACATACAGGTAGTACCTGCTGTCTATATACAGATAGAAGCACTGTAACATACATACAGGTATTACCTGCTGTCTGTATACAGTCAGGTACACAGTAGAGGGGTAGGGTGGGGTGGGGGGTACCTGAGTACCTGCCCTCTTTGCCTGAACTATTCAAAGGACCTCCCTTTATAGGAACTGAATGTTTCTTTAATGGATGTGTCAAAGGGCTAGATACTAACCCTCAAAAAGTCTCTGCATGGCACTGGTCAGAAACACTGTGACATACAGGTATTACCCACTGTCTATATGGAGTCAGAAACACTGAAACATACAGGAATTAACTTTCGTTAACAGTCAGGTACCCACAGTCTATATATAGAAGGGCTGTCACTTTTTAAGTGATATTCGAACATTCGTTTGAACACGATGTGAAAAATTCACATTCAAACTATAATTAACTCATTCAAATTTTAAAGTGTCTCTGAGCCTACGAGCGCATTAAACCGCTATAATACAGACATGCCCTGTAAAGCATGGTTTAAGCATTAAACTATCAGGGACAATGTACACCATGTAACTTTTTGATAATATATTACAAACATTGAAAGATATTACAGCTGGAAAACTGCATATAACGCTAACTTTACCATGGTTAAGGTTTAAACTCAAACCCGCTTTCTGTAATACTTCAGTATAGATTCACAAATCCCCACATACATCATCAAGCAAGAATACCAGGGTGGTGTACCCAAAAGTGGTTTCGGGTTTAAAAATCATGACACCGTAGTAAAGTTAACTTTACAACTGCCGACTGTAATATCTTTCAACAAAAGCAAGCAACACCCCATTGATTTTCCAGATTTATTTACAGGCGAATTTTAATTAGTATTTCAATGTTTGTGTGTGTACTTCACCTTCAATTGCCCAGTTATTTATTTACAGTCACTGGCGGTGAATGAACAGAGTGCAATTTTTAATAGATACATATAAAAACACATATATGAAAGTTACATGGGTTGCATTGTCCCCCATAGTTTAATGCTTAAAGCACACTTAACTGGACATGTCTGTATGGTTTAGGTTTATACTTATTAATCCATTAATTCTATGTTTTGTACTTTAAACGGACACAGTCCAGTTATTATTAGTTGTGCAAAACTATTGCGAGGGATCACAAAAGATTTGCAAGGGAATGCAAATATATAGTCAGGCACATGATAACATACAGGTATTACACACTCTGTGTACAGAGAGATACATGATAACATGCAGGTACTACCTATTGTCTGTATACACTGTACATACACAGTAACATACAGGTATTACACACTCTGTGTACAGAGATACATGATAACATGCAGGTACTACCTATTGTCTGTATACACTGTACATACACTGTAACATACAGGTATTACACACTCTGTGTACAGAGAGATACATGATAACATGCAGGTACTACCTATTGTCTGTATACACTGTACATACACTGTAACATACAGGTATTATTCTCCGTGTAGAGTCCACCATGCTGTGTTTGCCCACTGTTGGCCCTAAACTTACTTGTAACACCTAAACTTGCTTCCACCACTACAGCAAGGTTGGTCCTGCCCCACTTGTACCTTCATCAACAAGCCCACACGGCCTGGTTGTGAGATCTGCAGTGCGGACCGGCCCGTTGGATACACAGTGCCCGGGGGGTACCAACCAGACCCACTAGAGCTGCGACGTATCGAGAAGGAGAAGGAGGCTGTCCGGCAGTATCAACAGGTAGGCCTGGGGTGCCCGACCACTGCAATCAGAATGAATGCCGATACACCTGATCACATTGTCCGTGCCGGAAAATGAAGAGATAAAGCTCAATCTGAGGGAGATGATTGAAGGTGAAGAGAAACCCCAAGTGCTCTCTTGCCACGAATAAGAGCGTCCACTAAATAAATATAAATGTAGAACATATATTTATGGCAAATAGGTCAGTCTTAAAGCCACAGTACCGTATCTTTGTGAGTCCTAATTGATAGAGTTCTTTGTCATTTGGAGAGCCAACTATCACTGTGGTCACAACCAGGGAGGGGGGGGAGGAAGCAATTCTGAGGATCTTGGAGAGGGGGGGGTCAGTCAGGAGCGGGGGTGGCGAGGGGGCTCCCTCGCGCTGACCCTCTTCTCTTCTGTCTCTGTGTTTTAAAGGAGAAAGGGAGAAGAGACGACCTGAGGGTTGACCCACTGAGCAACTCACTACTGTATAACCTGAACCCCCCCTCGACCAGGACTACTGATGTCACACATACACCCTAAGCTCCTCAGATACGGCCTCGCATGGGGGAAGGGATGGGGGGCACAGCCTCTTACACACCGGTGCGGTCCGGCGGGTTCGCACACACACGTGTACAGATGATGCAGGCGCGTTGTCCTGCCCAAGTGAACAGAATCCCGCAGAATAAAACATGGACTGGCTTTAGACAGCCCCTACATCAGTACTCTCTTACTAGGACATTATTGACAGCGACCACATAACACATAGATGCTAAAGCACTGTACCGTACATGTGAGAGAGGCTGCTGATGGTATCTGTATGAATGTGCTTGTTATTGTATTATTGTATTGAGGTTTTTTTTTTTTTTTACTACAATGCAGAAAGCAGTTAGTCATCATTGAATAGCTCTTAAAAGTGTGCGATGGAGATTACAGTGCCAATGCAAGTCATACTATTTAAGATCATAAACTCTGTCAGTCTGATAAATGGGAATCATCTCATAGAATTCAAGGAATTGCCTGAATTAATGTTTTTTTTTTTCTGCTGGATGAATAATCTGAAATGTGCAGAAAAAAGTCAAACCACCATGTATAATGAGCCTTGGGAAAATCTGTATTTACTGTAAAAATGAAATAAATGCTTTGAGTCCTTTTAATGCCTTGTGCTTCCTCATCTTTTACAATCTGCTTTGTCTGTTTCAATGTGATACATCTGCATCTAAAGGTCTGTAAGGATATTCTGTAGATGTAGTCAGTTGCTGTTGTGGACATAATCTAAAACAACTGGGTCCTGCAAAGAGGACTGTTCCAGATGCGACTGTTCAGGAAATGTGAAGATATTGCTCTCCTTTATTGGGCAATAAAGACCATGTAGGTATAGATGCCATTTTGGGTCTGGGAACATGAATGGGGGAAGGCGGGTCTCCTTATGGTGTTCCAGCTACCTTTCTGCATGCAGCTGCATGATCTCAAGTGCTCTTCGAGTTACTGTCGTTTTTCCAATCAGACCTTACACCTTCTTCTATGAACCAACTGGTTAGCTGAATGAATGGCAGGTTGTTCATATAATATATATATATTTTTTTTTTTGCCCCCCCCCCCCAGGCTAGGGAAGCCGAGAGAAGGGAGAACTTTGCCCGGCTGGTGATGATGGATGGGCAGGACCTGGTGCCAAACCCGGACAGCGTGGAGTGCAGAATCTGTTACCTGGAGCTCCAGCCGGGGGAAGGCGTGCTGCTCAGAGAGTGTCTGCATTGCTTCTGCAAGTAAGAGGCCTGATCTGGGCACAGCGGTGAATGACACACTACCTTCCAATATTAGGCTAGCACTGTCTTAGACACTTAACTGCTATGGTTATCCAATGGCACTTGTAATTTAGCCTATTTTGATAGCTTAGCCATTTACTGGAGTTACTTATACTACTGCTACCTTCAAATTATAGGTTCTTGCTCTTAACAGTGATGCTCCCTGCTGGCATAGGGGGAAAAATCAGCAGACAATGTAACCAACACGGGCAGTGTTACATGTCTTTGTGCATTGAAACGTGGCCCGGGGCCCTGAGTGCTTCCGTGGTGTCTGCAGAGATTGCCTGCGCTCCGTGATCCTGATGTGCGAGGACCCTGAGGTGGCCTGCCCATATCGAGATGACGCGTATGCCTGCGACAGTGTACTGCAGGAGAGAGAGATCCGGGCAGTAAGGAGCACCCCCCCCCCCCAACAGCGCCCCCTTATGCTCAAAATCACCACTGGCAGCCTCGGTGCTTTAGCATTAATCTTTTGGTTCCATTCTGAGTACTCCGAGTTCTCCACACACTATGATCAGCTGGAATTTCAGAACTAGTCTTACGTTATATTTTCTGCTCTCCATGCGTCCGCTTACCACCCCAATGCCTCCACTTCTGGCATCACTTCATCCTCGCTGTGCCAGCTAGTGACGGGGGAGGAGTATGAGCGCTGGCTCCAGCGGGGACTGTCCGTGGCAGAGTCGCGCTGCAAGAGCAGCTACCACTGCGCCAGTCCCGACTGCAGCGGCTGGTGCGAGTACGAGGACACGGTCAACAGTTTCCACTGCCCTGTCTGCAAGAGGCAGAACTGTCTGCTCTGCAAGGTAGGCTAACCCACGCACAAAAACATCACATGACCACACACAGACTGACACCCGCATAAAGCGAAGGCGTCGCATACGGCAACACATTTATGAAACGCCAGCACTTTCATTCCATACGAAAGCTCTGAACAAACAATGAAATAAGATAAGAATCTTTATTGTCACTGCATAGGCAGCAAAATGACATTTAGCAGCCTGTCAGCAGTATAGCGTATACAATATGCATGAACACACGCACACTTGTCATATCAGCAACTTTGTAAAATCTCACCTGTCGCTGTCTCAGGCCATCCATGAGGGAATGAACTGCAAGCAGTACCAGGATGACCTTTCTGCCCGCGCCATCAATGACTCCGCTGCCCGCAGGACGCGTGACCTCCTAAGGGTAACCACCATCACAGACCTACCGCCACAGTCATGTGACCCAGATGCACCAAAAGAATCACCACAGCAGGTTTTGTCCCACGCAGACCCTGGTCCAATCCGGCGAGGCCATGCACTGCCCTCAGTGTGGCATAATTGTGCAGAAGAAGGAGGGCTGTGATTGGGTGCGATGTACTGTCTGTCACACTGAAATCTGCTGGGTCACCAGGGGCCCACGCTGGGGGCCTCGGGTAAGGGCCTCGCCTTCCTCTCAGGGTATTACACCCATGACAGTTTTCATATTTTTGAATAAAGGTGTATGTGTTGTGAAACGCATCAGAAGTTTTGATTATATACAGATGCATGATAATGATAAAATAAAGTAATATCTAATTTTTAAGTGTGTATTTAATGCACATGAATATTTCTAAACATGAATACATTGCAATTACAATGGCTACTACTGTACTTAATAATAGTACTTAAATGTTTTTTTAGATACAGCTGTAAAATTTTGGCATCGTGACAGCGCTAATTCCTACATGCCCGGTCCTAATGCCCCTCTGTTTTCCAGGGGCCGGGCGACACCAGTGGAGGCTGCCGCTGTAATGTCAACAAGCAGCGCTGCCACCCAAATTGCCAGAACTGCCACTGAGAGGGTGAGACAAACAGACAGACAGGCTAACAGGCCACCCAGAAACAAGGGCAAGAGGAACCTGTCTACAATGAGCCACAACCGTTGGCTAAGTCTGCCTGTCAATCAGAACCTGAGAATTTTCACACCTGGACAAAGCTAACAAACTCACACAACAACCTCTTCAGAGTAAAAGCACCTATTTAGAAAAAGCCATCTTTTGGTCGAGGTAATATTAAGTACTTCAACTATTTCTGCTCAGGGCTAATGTGCGTAGCTATAAACAGTTACAGAACAACCAGGATTTCCTCACACTTTCTTCCATTAGCCACTTTTACACTGTGTTCTCCTTAACTGAACAGCCCAGGTACCCACCGATTTGCTAATTGCTGCTAAGTGGGTTTTTCTCCGCTTGTAAGAAATCTACAACTGCCCTTACGGACCGTCCACACTTCCATTGTGCCTTATTGACCCATGTGTAGCACTAAGCAATTACCCCACTCATGTAAATGTGGACAAACCATGCAAGACATTGTGCTGTTTTAACTGACAAGGAGTGAAGAGTTAATAAATAAAGTTTGTGTTTTGAAAAATATGTGGTGCATGCATGTAACAGTGTTACTTTGGAATCCATGTCTGAGGTCCTGTGGGTTCGGCATCTTCCAAAGGACGATTTTTTTTTTCTGCTGGATTCACCAGAACACTCCCATGCACAGATACGTGTGACCTCAGTGGCCGGGGCATAGCGCCCAATATTGCGCACCGGGCATTGTAGTGTGACCTGCCCCCCCTGCCACCCCCGCAAGCTAACTTACTTTACTGCAACATATTTACTCTTTGGCACTTAAGGTTCATTAGTTTTCTGAAAAGAACAGCGGTTGCCTTGGGGCAAGCCAAACTGTCTTTTATTAGTATACATGGTATATTTACTTGCATTTACATTTTCACTAATAAGAATGTTCTTTTTACTAGTAAGAACTTGTGACGAGTAAGCCGTATACTAATAAAAGACAATTTGTCTTGTCATTGTGGCCTGTTCTTTTCTAACATTAGGCGCTTTCAAACCATCAGAACTTTTCTGCAACCAGAACCTTTTTCTGGAACCAGGGACTTTTGTTGTGTTCACACTGCAGTAACTCGGCCCAATTGTCTTTCCTCAGGGGCAATTTCCAGGGTTTCCAACTCTCATGCATCTGGTGTGACACTCACGTTTTCTGACTCTCGGAAGAAATCTTACTGCAAATCTATATTATTCCATTATAAAACTAAAATTAGCTACATGAAAAGTATTGGGGCAGTTTGCAAATCGTACAGACTATTTACAAGGTAATAAAACTGTTACTTGCAGGTGTGCGTCTGCAGACTTATCTCCAATTGAAAATCTTATGCCAGCCAGCCGACCAAACCTGAAAACCCTAAGTTCCCAAACCCTTTTTCAGTACCTAATGCAAACTAGGTTCTTTCCATTCAAACACGAACTACTGGGTAGTTCTTACAGCGATAGCTTGTTGATAGCACCAGTGATTGTGGTTAACCTAACATGGAAGTTATGCAGAAGTGCAGAAAGAGAGAAATGGGCCTAGCAGCGCAAAATATTGAGCAAATGTAATTATTTTTGTAACCCAATTACATTTAATGCATCAGTTAATGCATTTTTCCTTGCGTCTCCATATTTCTGCATCGGAAAATTCCATCATTAACCAGTATAAGTTTGTCTAATATCGCCGTTGCCGGGGATGAAACCTGCCAGTGCTTATTAGCTGGATAACTTTGCGTCGTTTATTATTTTGTGGAAAATTAATCCCACTTTGATCGCAATCCATCCCCCAATAACTAATAACAGAACTTATTTATCATTCATTGTTTTGGCCTGGCGGTGTAGTTTCGCATTAAATTATGTGTGGAGTTTAACCTACGATGTTTTTGTGTCTTCCATGCTTATTTAGCATAAAGGTCCCAGTTCCGGATGTGTAAACCAGGACCAGGTTCTGGAACTTGGGTGTGAAAGTGCCTTTTATCTCTCTAGCTCTCTGTTCTCCTTGCAATTCTGAATCCCCAATTTTAGTTTTGGTTTCACTTTGTATTCGGCAAAAGGCACTGATAGATTTGTGCACAGGGGGACAACGAGGCGTAGGCATGCGGGCAGGAATCAGGTAGATAAGCAGAACTTATCATGTAAGTTATTATTTATGTCTATAATAACAAAAAGTAGGCTATTAAATTCAGGAACCAGATTCTAATTATTTCAGAGGCTTTCGCAGCTCCCCCCCATCCAAGCAGGGCCCTGGTTAGTCAAGTCGACCAGTACCCGCGGTCCGACACCCCTGCTCACTGGGTACGTTGATTACTCACAACCAAGGGTATAACTTTGGGTTGAGCACTGGGGGGTGAGTTGAGGTCTCCACCCATTTAATGGGTCCAGGCGGTTGTAGTGATTGGTTTTGATTATTGGAGGGGTTACATCCCCTATCCCCCATAATTCACGACCATGCTCACATCATTACAGTAAGAGTTGAGGTTTAGCAAAATGCACAAGACTGCGGAAACAGTGCTGGCCTTGTTTTGATTAGTGGCAGAGTTTAATTGACCTTGTAGCATCAGAATCGATCATTACAAGTAGGTGTTCCCTACAGCCACCTGTGTTAATGCCACCCCCAATTATTTCATCACTGTCATACTTAGAATGTTAATAATATTCAACAGATGAATACTTTGTATAACTTGCTTAAGCATATTTTGTTTGTGACTGGGTGGGATGATTTGGACAGTAAGCCCAAGGATATATGTTGGAAGGAACACGGTTTGCTCATCATTCAGTAGGGACTGACTCCCAGTCCATTAACTCAACTTAACCCAATGAAATCACTGTAGATAGGTGGTTCTTCTATAGCCTGAATTCTGGAAAAGTCGGGATGTTCTTTAAATTTGAATAAAATGAAAACTAAATGACTTTGAAATCACATGAGCCAATATTTTATTCACAACAGAACATAGATAACATAACAAATGCTCAAACTGGGAAATGCATATCCAATAAATGCTTATCCAATAAATGAGCTCATTTCAAATTTGATGTCTGCTAAAGGTCCCAAAAAAGTTGGGACAGGGGCAAATTTAGTGTGGTGTAGCATCTCCTCTTCTTTTCAGTATTACTTTATTTTAGTAATTTAATCATTTTTATTTGCTCTGTAAAATCTAATGATAAAAGATGTGAAACATTTTCTATATTACATAAAGTGTATCGTTTAGATCTCAAAACACTGCTGGGTGGTTATCGCAAACAAATTTAACATACTTTCTTACATCCAGAAATACAATCCTTAGTTAGCATCCCATCCAGGGTGTCCCCTGGCTTGTTTCCATGTTAATCGCAACCTTGTATTGCATATGTGATTTGGAAAATGGATTTTTATTAAATCAAACTGCGTTTTACACTATACCTTTACAATGCAAGGATGTTACACCGTTAAATTCCAGTAACTTATCAAAAATCTTGCCCAGAGTTGCCGTGTTTAATTCAATAGTTTTATTTAACAGCCCCAGCCTCTTTAGCGGCACCACGTGTTTCTCTTTGTTATGTCAACAAAGGGAGCCGAACTGATCCCAGATCATTACACATTTCCATCCATATGTGGCACTATAAAACATCTACTTCGGCTTCACCTTGAGATGTAGCGGTATCTAACTTTGGGTGACAGTGTCACCTGGTGGAGCAAACCTTCAGGTGCCTGCGCGCTTCACATTGAAACTGCAGGATATTGCAGAAGGCCTGTCAAGTTGAGCTACTTTGTCGAGTTAGGTTACCGAAGTGCTAATCGATAGCCCTAACCCCCACCCACCCAAACCCCTAAAACCCTTACCCTAACCCTAACCCCTAAAATCTAACCCTAATCCCAAAACGGTGGAACTGCACATGCGCAGAAAGGCTCGATAGTATGTCTCGAAAGGAAGCTCAACTCGTCATAACACCTGGCCTTTACAGGGGAAATCCAGTCCACGGCAGATATAGCATTCGACTGAGAGGGAAACCCTCTAGATTTTAAATCCTTTGAAAGTGTGCACGTAGGAAAAGAGATAAAAGACATAAAGCTACAATCAGTCTTGACTTGAATCAGTGCAAAGCGGCGGCGATCGGAACAGGCAGAGCCTGAAGAAGCGTAAGCAGTTTTAATTTCCGTAGTTACAAATATTGTTAGCTTTTTCAAGCACCGATAAAATGTAAACATTTACTAATACAGTTAGTTAAGAATCACTGGACTCGGTACCATATCTGATTAATGCTTAAAGTTCTTAAATTATTTAAATTAATGTACTTCGGGAAAGAGCAACAGTTTGAGGGATGTACGATCTGGACGCCTCCTCGAAATAACCTCATTCATTGGTGCAACTGAGGTAAATGCAGATACGGGCATGTTTTAAATATGCGCATCGCTGCATTTAATATTAGTTGTCGATACTCGCGTTTGGTGTTTGGAAGCATTAGATGTGTACTTAGATGAGTTGCACGAGGTCCCAGAAAGATAACAATCAGCTGAACCGGGTCCAAAGATTGGTGTAATTTTAGAATCCATTACCTGTGCCAAGTGTGTGCGAATTATCATGGGACAGACCTTGGGAAAGTGAATGTAAGAACATGAAGTGATGCATCTCATCCGTCCTTCAGGATGGCCGAGATCGCAGGGAAGTTTGACTTCGCCATCGATCGCGGGGGCACCTTCACCGATATCTTCGCTCGTTGTCCGGACGGGCGAGAGAGGGTCCTCAAACTGCTGTCACACGATCCCCAGAACTACAATGACGCGCCCACCGAGGGTATCCGTAGGATCCTTCAGGAGGTAAGATAAAGAGATATCGCCTCATGTATAAACAGAAAAAGTATTACTGCAAGCTCTGTGAAGCGCTGTAGATCGAAATGTTACATATGTAAATAAATGTGGTGTTTAAAATGAGAAGTCAGTGCAGGGCCAGCCCGCCCTATAGGCGACATAGACGATTGCCTAGGGCGCCATTTCAATAGGGGCGCAAAAGAACGCGTGAAAAATTCAGAAGAAATGGCCCTGGTTGTATTGCGTGACGTTATACAGCTATTTCACAACTGAAAAAGAAACTTATGGTGTTTCTCAATGTGCGTGCTTTACAGTACTTGTGTTCTCGTGTACCCGTTTTACGTCATCTTTCGTTGCCGAAGACCAGTTCTATAATGACAGATGTACATAGAACGGTATAAATCACCGGGTATCGTTCTCGCCCCGCCCCAAATGTCAAGGATACATGACATTTGTGAAGTCAAACGAGATCAATCCCATGATTCACTGCACCCCAAGTTCGTTCCTGGGAAGCAAGTTAGGAAGATCGCTCTTGGTATTGAGAAACACCCATTTATTAATGGGATATCCACCCGCAGCCTCCATTAAAACGTCTGAATAATGCGTCATTCTTCAGTAATTAAACTGGCAAGAAAATGAAAGTGGGAATCTGGGACGTCGGGAACAAAACGCCGAAGATCGTTTTGATTCTGTAAAGCGCTTTTGGATGTTTGAAAAGCGCTATATAAATATAACTTTCATTCATACATTTTAAAAAAGCAAAGAATATAGTATATAACGTATATACGTAATTTGCTGTTGCAGCTAGTTAGTTGGATTCTTTTAGATTAGCTTTTATATTTCACTACTCTTTTTGTGAAATAGATACCCGCAAGATAGTTATCAGCCAGATACCCAGTGCTACTGTAACGTTTTTAATATAAATAAATCTGCTGCTCTTTATTGTTTATCATTTCTGTATGCTCTGTATCAATATATAAGTGGATCTATATGGAAAAAAATGTATGGACTAAAAGGACAACAATGTTTTAAGCATTATCAAAGAATGCCACCTTTTGTACAATTCTAGTCGGCAGATTTTACCACTTAACATTTTTCACTGCAAGCCCCAAGTCAGGATAATCCCTCTGTTTTCAATATTCATCATATTTTTCTTATTATAAAAATGCCAACATGTTGTTATTTAACAATTTTTTTCTCTTTTTATTGTGTTTGGGTGTAGGGTTGTTGGGGGGTGGTGGTGGGGGTGGCGGCCATCAGCAGAATCTTGCCTAGGGTGTCAGAACACCCAGGGTCAGCCCTGAGTCAGTGTAATGTTTACTGAGGACAAATGGCAGAGAAATTCATCAGGTTAACTAGACCTAACAGATAGCAGACCAAGGTTAGGCCACTACAATCAGTAACTTGAAGTAACAGATCAGAGGTCATGTTAAAAAAAAAATGGTGTTTTGTTTTGCATTACATTAACTCTTGGCACACCTACTCCTTCAGGAGACTAGACAAGCTTTCCCCAGGGACCAGCCAGTGGACACCTCCCTGATTGGATGGATCAGGATGGGCACCACCGTAGCAACCAATGCACTGCTGGAACGACAAGGCGAGAGGACTGCCCTCCTGGTCACACGGGGGTTCAGGGACCTGCTGCACATCGGCACCCAGGCGAGGCCAAACCTCTTTGACTTGGTGAGCACTTTTTTGAGCCACCGTATGCCAATCCTGCCAGTATCCACCGGGAAACAGAACAATGGAATGATGCATAGCAAACAGTTCATGTTGATAACTTACCACATGCACATTCTGGGGGGATGGGGGTGCTTCCCAATGACATCGCTCTGTGTCTCATAGCATCAGATCTGTGTTATGCAATAACCAGACTGCTAATTGCGTCGATAGCGTTGTTGAAGGTGTCCAAGGCGTGTGAAGGATCTGCAGGGTTGCTTGCAAGTTAATGAAATGAAACAATGCTTTTACTTAGCATTTGCACAAGTACAGTTGAATTGTTCAGTTTTCACATGGAGCTTTTCATAGGGTTAGAACTTTGCTCAAGGGCCCAATGGAGACGAGACTATTCTGCTGGAGACAGGATTTGAACTGGCAACCTGTGGATGACAGGCCCAGGGGAGTAACCCGCTGAGCCACACACCACTGTGAATTGAAGGACGTGGGCTAGAAGGTCCAAAAGCTGAAGCTCGACCTGTAGTATCGTCAGTGCTGAGGAATAACATACTGAATGAAGGAGCTGCCAGTAGGGGGAGCAGGGGGTCTCCCCAGACTAACTTCACAGGCAGGCGTGACACTGTGTGGTAGCTCGTCCTCTCCGCCTTGCTCTGCGTTTTTCAGTATCGCCACCTCTTGACTGGTGCATGTTCAGGATCATTTTAGTAGCTCAGCAGGTTAGGCCTCTGTGTCCGTAATTAGAAGGTTTCTGGTTCAAATCCCATTTTCAACAGAATAGTCATGTCTCTGTTGGTCCCTGTTGCAAGGCCCTCAACTCCCTGAAAATTGCCCCAGGGGTGTTTGATGGGGTAAATCCTGCACTCAGACCCCAAGCTTCATTCTCACATCTGTATATGCCTGCATTTAAACAAGGAAACACAAATTCCAATGTACCTGGCAAATAAAGCATCATTTCATTTCCTAAACATCCTTACGATTTAAGACATTACATGTGTGCATCTCCTGCAGGAGGTGTCCATGCCAGATGTCTTGTATGAGGAGGTTATCGAGGTGGAGGAGAGGGTGGTCCTGAAGCAGGAGCGTGGCCGGGTAGCAGGGAGAGAGCTGGTGAAGGAGGTGACAGGTGTGATTTGGTGTGACACGATGCCCCACTGATGAGCGCACACACACAAAACACTCCTTATCACTTTCCCTCCTAGCCAGAGCTGTGCTATATTCACACACTCTCTAACACACTGACTTATCTTGTTACTGTTATTGATGTAAGGGTTGATATGCATTATACTAGTGCATTGATTCACTACTTTTATTCACCTCACTGGCAGTACGTATGTGGTTACAATAAATTAATCAACACCCTTCTGACCAATCAGATTCAAGACTTCAGCAGCACCATGGTATCAGTTGTATAAAATGTCTCAATTTACCTCTGGCTGAACAGCACTAGTGCTGAATGCTTCCCAACCTCACATCCTCCCCAAACATTCCCCTGCACCCCACCAGGCAGCACAGGGGAGGTCCTGGAGGTGTGGCGGGAGCCTGACCTGCAGCAGGTGGAGCGTGACCTGCAGGCACTCCTGTCTCGCGGGATCACCAGCCTGGCCGTGCTGCTGCTGCACTCCTACACGTCAGTACTGCGTAACACGGTGGAGGTTGTGGATGGAGCAGCATGGTACAGAAGAGCGTAGCGCAGCACTGACAGCATGCTCCTCCCTCCCAGGTGGTCCCCCCATGAGCAGGCTATAGGCTCCCTGGCACGCAAGCTGGGCTTCACCCAGGTGTCCCTGTCTAGCGAGGTTATGCCCATGGTGAGGGCCGTGCCCCGGGGGTACACCGTATGCGCTGACGCCTACCTGACCCCCAAGATCCGGCAGTACCTAAAGGGCTTTGTCTCCGGGTTCCGGGGCGGGATGAAGGTCAGTGGGGGGTGGGGTCTCTGTGCCTTTCAGCGTGCCTGCATGTGTTTATGTATGTTGAATGTGCAGATATCTTCCTGCACACATTCGTGTGCTTGATTGCATATATAGTGCCTTCCGGATGGGATTAGTTTTACCTAGTTCAGGATGCAGTTTGGAAAGTGATTTGACTGGCTAATTCTGGTGAGATAAGAAGCTTGAGTAATTTCTCCAAATTACCAGAGATCAATGAATCTCGTCCATTGATGGTAACGTCAGAGTTAGTGTGTCTAGAAAGCAAATGCAAGTGTAGGTTATCAGACGTCTGCTTGGAAACCCCAGCATCCATTGAGGCTCCATTTTTAAGTTACAAATGCTGTTTCTACATTTGTAATAATTAACATGCCTTTCAGATGATACTGAAATCAGATGTAGTTTCTACAAAACACAAAGCATACCTACAAAAAAACCCCACACACTTATTGCCATTAGGATGGAAATGTGTCTGTGTTTCCTTGGTCTCTGAGTGTTTCTGTATCCTTGTCTTCCTCACCTGCTCTGTTCCCCGCAGGACGTGAGGGTGCTGTTCATGCAGTCCGATGGAGGACTCACCCCCATGGATGAGTTCTGCGGCTCCAGGGCGGTGCTGTCGGGCCCAGCAGGGGGCGTGGTTGGCTACGCTGTCACCTCCTACAGCCAGACGGAAAGAAAGCCAGTCATTGGCTTTGACATGGGGGGTGAGAGGAGGAAGAGGTGGCGGGGGGGGCAATAATTTAGAGGAAAGCATGCAGTTGGCAATATAGAATAGAATAGAATACAGTGGTACCTCAGAACTCAAATTTAATCCGTTCAGAACTCCGGATCGAATCCTAAAAAGTTTGAGTTGTGATCGAATTTTCCCCATAAGAAATAATGGAAAACCAATTAATTGGTTCCCGGCCCCAAAATATTACACCTTAATATGTTTTTTTTTTTTTTAGCATTTAAATACAAAATGAACCAGATAAAACATGAAGAGCATATACTGTACTAAACACATCTAAGCACATTTATCAAAACAGTAATTTGTAAATTAAGAAAATAAATGTATCCAAACAATGTGTAAAGTAAAAAAAACAATGTGTCCTGCCCCGATCGTCCGCTCCTTCCGTGTGCCAAGCCCCTTCGTTACCCCCGTGTGGAATCCCCGTGTGATCAGCTGTTTCTAGTTGTTGTCATTAATCCTCTGTATTTAGTCCGCGTTTCAGTTTTTTTCCCCAGTCCGGTCATTGTATTGTCCGTCTGCGTTTTGCCTGCCTTACCTGTAATTAAACCCCCGTATTCCCTGATACCCTGACGTCTGCGCCTTTGTCTCTGTTCTGTCCCCGCTCGGCATGACAATATTATTATAATTAAATATATTAATGGTTTATTATTAATATTAAAACAATTAATAAGAAATATTTATTTTTAAATGTATTTTATTATATAATAATAATTACTGTTATTGTCTATCATTGTCAATGTATTTTTGCTGCCTAAATATATGTATTCAGCTAGTGTAAACATGCACGATGCTATCACAGCGAATGCGAGGTTAAGACTGAAGTGTTACCGTTTGCTTCCGCTGAGAGATGTGCCGCGTGACTCATTTCCCCGTGGATACAAGCTATCTTAGGTCGGCATTCACGGTTTGACTTCTGAGATTCAGATCGAGTTCTAGGTAAAATTTTTTCAAACTGGTTGGTTCGACTTTTTTAAGAAATTCGAGTTCTAATGAGTTCAAGAACTGAGGTACCACTGTATTCTGTTTCCAAAGGTAACAGAAATTCTCCTTTTCACAGGCTCAGAGTCACATCTAAAACATGCATAGACACACATACATACAAACTGTTTAAAAGGTGGAAATTGAAAACTGTCAGTTCATTTTGTGCTGTTCAGGATGGCTATTGCAGATGGGATGAAGGATTTCTTGTAGATGTTTTTCCGGGCCAGAGGTACCTTGTACCGTCTACCTGATGGCAGTAACTGAAAACGATGTAGAGGGTGCGTGGAGTCTTCAGTGATCCGGGTGGCTTTCCTGGTCACTGAATGGATGTACAGTTCAGACAGAGGGGGTTGCAGTGCACCTATTATTTTGCTGGATTGATTTATTATTCAGGATAGTCATGTTTTTTGTTTGATAGTGAGAAGGTTGTACCAGCAGGAGATGTTGAAGGTGAGGAATGACTCAATCAGGGAGCAGTAGACCAAGGTCAGGATGTCCTTATTGACCTGGAAAGTCCTGAGTTTCCTCAGCAGGTGGAGGCGTTGCTGTGTTTTTCTATAAACAGCTTCTGTGTGCTGAGAGAAGGACAAGCAGGTGTCTATTTCTGCTCCCAGATATTTAAAAGCTTGTACCTGTTCCACCATCCGACCCTGGATGCTGAGTGGCTGGAACATAGGCGATGCTTCATCTCTGCCTCCACAGCACAACTCTTTGGTTTTTTAAATGTTTAGTTCAAGTGAGTGATCAGCAAAGGTTTGGGTCAGATCCTTCACTTCCTGCTGGTACTGAGACAGAGCCTGAGAGTTAGTTATATGCGCCACCAAAGCCATGTCATCTGCGTATTTAAACAGCTCCATCCCTTCTCTGCTGCATGAGATGGTGTTTGTGTACACAGGGAAGGAGGGAACAATATAGAATGGAGGAGTGGATAATGAGGGTGGAGAACATGAAATTTAGGAAAGAAATTAGGAGGAGGTATTCTCTATACAGCCTAGACACTATAATGCATGAAAATCTCTAGATTATTACTTGTATAATTAGGAGGAGGTGTTTCTGTGCTCATTTCACAGCCTACAGCTTTTGCCCTGTCATTTTCCTGACCTTTGACCTCAGGCACCTCCACGGATGTCAGCCGTTATGCAGGCCAGTATGAGCACGTATTCGAGGCCACGACGGCGGGTGTCACGCTGCAGGCACCCCAGCTGGACATCAACACGGTGGCGGCCGGGGGCGGGTCACGCCTTTTTTTCAGGTGAAGAACGTGGAGAAACACCCAATGTCTTTCAGTTTCATAGTTAATATCCTCCAGTGCTGTCCCGGGGCATGTTGTCGTGGTCAAAGTACAAGGGTCATGAACCCTCTGTCTTCTGTGCTTATTTAGGTCAGGGATGTTCGTGGTGGGGCCAGAGTCTGCAGGTGCTCACCCTGGACCTGCCTGCTACAGAAAGGGTAGGAATCCTCCATTTCCAACTCATTCCATCCACTCTCTTTCCATCCTTGATGCCGTTTTTGTACTTTTTTCTCATCCATTTGCTCACTGTAGTAAAGTTAGCCATCCCGTCCCACAGGAGGCCCCCTTACAGTCACCGATGCCAACCTCGCTCTTGGGCGCCTGCTTCCCTCACACTTCCCAAAGATATTTGGCCCCCAGGAGAATGAGCCACTGTCCACTGAAGAGACGATGAAGGGCTTCAGGGAGTTGACATGCAAGATCAACTGCTTCCTGTCAGCTGGCCAGTCACAAAGCACTGAAAATGGAAATAGCCAGTTGAATAGCATCACGTCTAGGAACGGGAAATCAGAAATGAGCATGGAGGACGTCGCCATGGGCTTTATACGTGTGGCCAACGAAGCCATGTGTCGTCCAATCAGAGCTCTCACACAGGTAGGTACAGTGCATATCTTGGGATTTATTTTATTATAGAGAGTATGACTGTTGACACATCATATGACACAACATGGCATTTAAATATTTTGAATTGATAAAAATTTCTTTATCAAAGTTCTGAAATGGGATGGAAGCTCTTCTTGCTGGATCCTGCATCATAAATTATATTTTTGTGACCCCCTCCAACCACCAACACACTCCCTGCCAGGCCAAGGGTCACGACACGTCCCAGCACATCCTGGCGTGCTTTGGAGGGGCAGGCGGGCAGCACGCATGTGCCATTGCTCGCGCCTTGGGCATGAAGACAGTCTTCATCCACAAGTGAGTCCTGTGGCAGGTGGTGGTGCTTTACTGGTGGTCTGCCATTTACTGGTATGTCAAAGCGGCTGTTATCAATGTTATTAAGTACAATTTTGACAAGCTGGGTATGCTTGTTTTCAACAAATACAGCTGCATCCTCTCAGCCTATGGCCTGTAATCATGCGTAGTGTGTGTCTTTCACAGGTACAGCGGCATCCTCTCAGCCTATGGCCTGTATGCATGCGTAGTGTGTGTCTTTCACAGGTACAGCGTCATCCTCTCAGCCTATGGCCTGTATGTATGCATGCGTAGTGTGTGTCTTTCACAGGTACAGCGGCATCCTCTCAGCCTATGGCCTGTATGTATGCGTAGTGTGTGTCTTTCACAGGTACAGCGGCATCTTCTCAGCCTATGGCCTGTATGTATACATGTGTAGTGTGTGTCTTTCACAGGTACAGCGGCATCCTCTCAGCCTATGGCCTGTATGTATGCATAGTGTGTGTCTTTCACAGGTACAGCGGCATCCTCTCAGCCTATGGCCTGCATGCATGTGTAGTGTGTGTCTTTCACAGGTACAGCGGCATCCTCNACAGGTACAGCGGCATCCTCTCAGCCTATGGCCTGCATGCATGTGTAGTGTGTGTCTTTCACAGGTACAGCGGCATCCTCTCAGCCTATGGCCTGGCCCTGGCTGACATGGTGGAAGAAACTCAAGAACCTTGCTCTCTGCAGTACTGGGTGGACTCCTTTCCAGAACTGGATCGGCGGGTGGAGCAGCTGTCCCTGCGGTGCCGGGAGGCCCTGAGGGCTCGCGGGTTCACTAGGTTGGTCTCCTGCCATCCCTGGAGTACATGGAACTCAAGCCTACATGGGCCAAACTCGCCCAGACCCAGTACTACTGGGTCGTCAGACATCACACAGTTCAGAATCATCCTAGAAGTATACCCAGGGAACAATCACCTGTACACTTTTGTGTTCAGAAACCACATAATTTTTATCTAGGCTAAATATGGTGGACATACCGCCCCCTACAGACCATTCTCTGAAAACTCACACTCATTTCCCTTTTGTCAGTGCCCAGATCACTACAGAAGTCTACCTCCACCTACGTTATCAGGGCACCGACTGCGCACTCATGGTTACTGCCAACGGTCACCCCGGAAACGCCCAGACCTGCAGGTCCGGTGACTTCGCTGCGGCCTTTGCCGAGAGGTGTGTACCCCAAGCTGCATTTCAATTGGCCCAAACTATAATCTCATTTGATTTATCTTTTGAGATATTTTAGATTCTTATGGCGATTTGCTGCATAATTATGGGAGGAGGCATCCTGTCTAAAACTGTACTTGACGTAAAAATAAACCTCTTTCTGTTTTATGAGAACCAGCTTAGGTAACCGTTTCTCATTTTGGATAACTGATGAGTTTTTATAATATTGTATTAGTATTTATTAGTATTTGTGTGCCCTAAATGTGGCATAATTTTAAATTTATTTATGAATAATTGACAGGACCATTAAGGATTCTTGTCAAAGATATCAGCATGCTTACAAACACTGGCATCTTGATCAGTTGAGAAGTACCCATTGATTTTTTGATCATGGCCTTCCTCTTCCTCCTCATCGTCATCCACTATCCTCCACTCAGGTACCTAAAGGAGTTTGGGTTCACCATCCCTGGTCGGCCAATCATGGTGGATGACATTCGTGTTAGAGGCACTGGGAAGTCTGGGATACAGTCCCAAACCAAGGTCAAGGCAGGTCAAGGGTCACCCAGACCCGTCGAGGTATGGACAGAGGGGCTTGGCTTTAAAATCCACAGCATATCAGGTTTTAACATGCTTAAATGTAGGCATTTAGGTCTGAATGCACTGTGATCTGTCAAGCACACAACCTCCCCAACACTAGGCTGCCCTTTGCTCTCTTAGGTGACCCAGTGTTACTTTGATGACGGTTACCAGGATACTGCTGTGTACCTGTGGGAGGAGATGACATGTGATCACAGCATCACAGGCCCAGCCATCATCATTGAGAAGAACAGGTGGGTTATGGGTTTTACGTAATGGCCCAGTGATATTAAGATTACTCTGCTAGCCTTGGGATTCGAACCTATGACCTTCAAGACAGAGACTCCAAACTCGTTGCGCTTTACTGCCTCATAAACGCCAAGCTCTTTAAAAATCTGAGGCTGTCCACCAGTGTGATACAAGCATTCAGAGAGTGACTTAACTCTCTCTGACTTGCTTGCCTCAGCACTATCCTCGTGGAGCCCCGCTGTGTGGCTCAGCTGACACCAGAGGGTGACGTCCGCATCGCAGTGAGCTCAGACACCGCGTGCGCGCTGGGCACGGAGCTGAATGCCGTGCAGCTATCCATCTTCTCACACCGCTTCATGAGCATTGCTGGTGAGGGTGCAGAGGTGGAGGGGCCCCGAAACTCAATGCAGGGGGGGTGATTAAGCAATACGTTACAGTACAGGTGATTGAATTTCCTATCAGAGGTGGGAGCACTTCCTGTTGTGCAAATTAAACGACACTATGAGGTGTGTGAGAGCCACAGGGTGATGCTGGTTTTCCACCCCCACAGAGCAAATGGGACGTGTCCTCCAGCGTACCTCCATCTCCACCAACATCAAGGAGCGGCTGGACTTCTCCTGTGCTGTGTTTGGGCCTGATGGGGGCCTGGTGTCCAATGCCCCCCACATTCCTGTCCACCTGGGAGCCATGCAGGAGACCGTGCAGTACCAGGTGGGGGTCCCGCTGAGAATGGGACCTGTATACCCCAACTGGGGGGGGCTGAGAATAGAGCTTTTGGATCAAGACTCTCACTCTGAGACTAACTGCGCTTTTCCACTGACATACAGGTACTGACCCGTACCAGAGCCGTATTGCAAAGACAGAATACTTCCAGTGCGGTTCCAGCGCATCATGATTTACTATGTGCAATTATTTATTATTTTATTTTTTGTTTGTTTGTTTGGTTTTTACTGTGTGGCAATTTTTGCTAGAACGTCTGTGAGAATCGCCATCGTATGCAAGTATCAAACGCTAGTGGAATTAGCACTCTGCATTATGCATTATGAATCCATTCCGTTCAGCTGCTCTATAGTACTTTTTTAAGTAGGAGGTTGGAAATTCTCAAGTTCTGGGAATGCATTGGTACATCACCATGTGCTATACTACCAGTGCTATACTGGTCACGCTTTCGGCCCTGCTAGCAAACAAAGCTGTGTCAGCACAGGTACGGGTCTTGTCTAGCTTGCATACTTTGCAATGGAGAACCATCACTTCGCAGTACGGGTCCGGTACGACTTGGTTCCTTGTGGCACTGGTAAAGCGCCATATGACACTCCTAGAATCTGGAGCTAACGCTGAGAGCCCTACACATGTACATATATACTCAACTCACACTTACCTCACACCAAAATTGCAGCATACCTGTCTATATTGAGTTTTGCTGATTTAATTCCATGCACTCACCCTATTTACACCCTTCCTACCCTTTTTCCATCCATATCTGGTCTCCTGTAGATTAGGGCGATGGGCAGTGATCTGAGGGATGGCGACGTGTTGCTAAGCAACCACCCATGCGCCGGGGGCAGCCACCTGCCAGACCTCACCGTCATCACCCCGGTGTGTTCCACGTGTGGGATCTTGGCCCACTCCTCATCACCGTGCTTACAAGGGCCTGGAGCCCCAGCAGCCTCCCGCCCCTCTGCCCTGATGACGTGCCGTCTCTCTCGCAGGTGTTCAGGAAAGGCATAACGGGGCCCGTGTTCTTTGTGGCCAGCAGGGGGCACCATGCTGACATCGGGGGGATCACTCCTGGCTCCATGCCCCCCCACTCTACCTCATTACAGCAGGAGGGGGCTGTTTTCATCTCCTTCAAGCTGGTCACTGGTGGTATCTTTCAGGAGGAGGGTAAGGGGTGGTTGTGGCTGGGGGGCGGGGCTTGTTGTCTGTAGGAGGCATTTGTGGACATCTGCTTTGATCATCCTCTCTCACCCACAGCTGTTACTGCTGCTCTCTTGGCGCCAGCCCAGAACCCAGAGTGCTCAGGGACACGCAATCTACATGACAACCTGTCAGACCTACGGGCGCAGGTGGCAGCCAATCAGAGAGGCTGTCAGCTGGTGCTGGAACTGATTAACAGCTACGGGCTGGAGGTGGTGCAGGCATACATGGGGTACATACAGGTACAAATGGTTGATTTTGCCAGCACCGCAAACAGTAGGGTTTGGAAAAACCATTTTATTTTTATTGGAAATGTGCACCTGCCTTGTTACAGTGGTGGAACAAAGTGTATGTGTGTGTGTGGGGGGGGTGGGGGTTCAGAGCAACGCAGAACTGGCCGTACGGGACATGCTGAAAGAGTTTGCCCGTCGCCGGCGACAACAGACCGGCTGCTTGGAGGTGGAAGCAGAAGATCATATGGACGATGGAACACCAATCAGGCTGCGCATCCGGATCAATGAGGAAGAGGTGGGTCTTGGGGGCGGGGTCAAGTCTGGGCTCATGTCTCTTGTTAATTCATTGTTGATAAATGCTACAGGAGAGACAGGGACAAGGAGCAGGAGACTAAGAGTCTGTGGGCTTCAATAGGATCCATGTTGCCTTTTGATTTGGCCATAATTAGCCCAAGTTAGCAAAGCATGGGTTAATTTAATGGGTGGAAGGCTAAAACTGCGGGTGACCATATCTGCACTGATGACCCACCAATTGCATGTTAAATTCCAGCAGCTTCATATCTCGTGTCTAGCTCACTGTTTCCCAACCCTCTACTTGGAGACCATTAGCAGTCCACATTTTTGCTTTCTCCCAGCTCCCAACACACCCATACCAGGTATTAGGTCTTCTTGATTAACATTCCATACTACAGTCTGAATTATTAAAGATACTAAATGACCTTCTGCTTATTGTCGATGCTGGGGACTACAATTTCAGTTCTGCTGGACTTGAGTGCCATTTTTGATACAATTGACCATAATATTCCAGTCAAGTGGATAGTTAGCATTGGCCTCCGGGGTACAGAGTTACACTGGTTTACCTCTTACATTAACCAGCGAACATTCTTGGTAAATAGTGGACATTCTCATGCTTCTACCCCTCTCACCACATCTGGAATTTCCAAGGGCCCAGTTTTGGGTCCTGCCTTGTTCCCCATTGATAACACATTTCACAGTCACAGTATATCTTTCCATTGCTATGCCGATGATACTCAGATTTACCTACCCTTGAAACACCATGACCCCTGTTCCCAGATTAACTTATTTGCATGTCTGGATGATACAAAGGTCTGGATGGCTCAAATTTTTCTTCACCAAAATGAAAATAAGATCGGACCACCAAATCACATTGATTCAGTTTCTCGGGGGCTGGGTCATCACTGCTCCTTTGCAGAACATCACACCACTTGGAGTCATTTTTGACAGTGATCTTATATTTTAAAAAGCACATCAATTCAGTCAAATACTTTCTATCATATTTATTTTCTGTTTAGATTTTTTTTGCCTACAATTTGTCCAAAATGCTGCTGCAAGACTACTAGCTGACTAGTATGAAAAAGAGGGACTATATTTCACCACTCCTGGCATCGCTACAATACAGGAGCAATTTTAAATGTTAATTGTTTTTAAAGCATTAAATGGACTGGTCGCTCCTTATGTCACTGATTTGCTCCATCACCACACTGTTCCTAGGCAACTGAGGTCTTCCATTGAATTTGTGGAAACTCGAGTAAAGCTGAAGGCTGACTGTGACTTTTCAGTACATGCACCATCTTTGGAACAACCTCCCGCTTAGCACTTAAATTACTGTTTTTAAATCTCATCTGAAAACCTATTTGTACAGACTGACTTTCACTCCAGATTAACAAAAATGTTAATTGTTTATTTTTTTATCTCTCCTCTTTTGCTCCTGTGGTTTGGTCTGAAACTAATATTGTGAGGTTTTGTCTTTGTTTTTGTTTTACTTTCTATTTGGAAATTTTGTACAGCACTTTGGTAAACCCAAGGATTGGGCTGGGAAACACTGATCTAGTTAGTCACTTGTAAGATGTTTTTTATTCAGCTACATTGCGTGTGCGGGTCCACTACAGTAGACTGTAACCACACAAACAGCAGAGCCGCCTGGGTGGGAGTGAGAGTAAGCATCACTTGGGGGAGCCGGCTCACAACCCCCCCAACCCCTCCCCTCCCCCGCAGGGCAGCGCTGTGTTTGATTTCACTGGCACGGGCACAGAGGTGTGGGGGAACTGCAACGCCCCCCGTGCCATCACCTTGTCTGCACTCATCTACTGCCTCCGCTGCATGGTGGGACAGGACATCCCGCTCAACCAGGTGTGTCCAGCAGGGGGCGCCTGGTGGGGGGTGATCCAAAAAACTTCTTGTGATGTAACAGTGGCAGTTTGGTGGCGAGTGTTTAGGTTTATTGTGAAATTGGGTGTGTGATGTACTTTTCTGTCACTGTGCCGCAGGGCTGCCTCACCCCCATCCAGGTTATCATTCCTCCCGGCTCCATCCTCCAGCCTTCCCAGAATGCAGCGGTGGTGGGCGGCAATGTGTTGACTTCGCAGAGAGTGGTGGATGTCATCTTCCGTGCCTTTGAGACGTGTGCTGCTTCACAGGTGCCACGGCGAGAAAAGGAAAACGTCCTTGAGTGTCAATACTTTAATCGGCCGAAATCATCGTTACTGTCCAATTCATTTTTATATAGCGCCTTTCACAACAGAGTCTCGTCAAGGTACTTGATGAGAGTGTGTGGCAGCCCATTACTAGTCATTTATACAAAATGGTGCATGAAACAGGGGAAAAGGGAAAGAAAGAATGCCAGTAGACTGGCTGCCCAACCCCCTGGCCAAGCTAACACTATAGAAAACATTGTCTTGGTTAATTGCACATACATGTGATGTGTCTCCCTCTGCAGGGCTGCATGAACAATATTTCGTTTGGCAATGAGAAGGGAGGTTACTACGAGACGGTGGCTGGAGGGGCAGGGGCTGGCCCGGGCTGGCACGGCCGAAGTGGTGTCCATAGTCACATGACCAACACACGCATCACCGACCCCGAGATCCTAGAAAAGAGGTGGGTAAGGAGGTCACGCTCTGGGGGTTCCTTCAGCACTGCCTGAACTTCTGATCTCAAGGCCCGTCTCCTCTGTCAGGTATCCGGTGGTCCTAGAGCAGTTTTCACTGCGGGCTGGTTCCGGGGGCTGCGGGTGTTACCACGGGGGAGACGGCGTGGTGCGCAAGCTGCTCTTCCGGGATAGAGTCGTGCTGTCGGTGCTGACAGAGAGACGTGCTACACGACCCTACGGGCTGCATGGTACCCTGGCCCTGCCCACTGACCTTTCACCCTGTCGTATCATTGGATATAATGTTGTTATTGACTGATCCCTATGGGCTGCACATTAACCTGGCTCTGCCTACTGACCTTTCACCCTGTCATATTATTGGACGCAATATCATTATTGACAGGTCCCTTTGTCCTCAGTCATTTGCATTCCTGTTTGTTCACTGTCTCGCCTCTTTAACATTTAAATCCATATATGCTGACAAAAACTTTCCTTGCTTGTACAGCACCGTCTTGGGTTATGGGTCAACGTCCTTAACTGGCATGTCATATGGTGTTGATCCAGGTGGACAGGATGGAGCCCCAGGAATCAATCTGCTCCACAGGGCTGATGGAAGGGTCCTAAACCTTGGGGCAAAGACCACTGTGAGCCTGGAGCCAGGGGTATGGTGACCCGGCTCTCTGTCCCATGTGTCCCCATTCAGTGTCACACACTGAGAGCAGCAGCTACACTGGTCATCCAGAGTATGATAAATCCAGTATAGATGGGTGCAGTACAGACACTGAGTATGATGGGGCGCTTTTCCACTGCACCAAGTACGGCACTTTTGGTACTTTCGCTTTTCCATTTACTTCCAGTCAAGTTCCAGTACCGAAAATGTCAAACCAGCTGGGGTACTTCTTTGATACTTCGGGGTGGGACTTGAAACGCTTTCTTCTCAATTGGTTATGCAAATAGTCTGCCGTTGACACACAATTTCAATTTCAATTTCAAAAAACTTTATTTGTCCCCGAGGGGCAATTTAAAAGGCATAGAGGAGCAACGCACACAAATAACAGTACTAACATTAGACACACAGACACACAATAAACTATGAACATAATAAATTACTTAAAGTACAGAGGCAATAAGATGCATGATGATGAAAGTGGAAAAAAAAAGAAAGAAAAAAAAAATACAATACAAATACAAATGATAAACGGAGTAATAGTATTAATAAAACAAAAAAGGAGTTCATAAATTTCTCATAAACCCGTCTGAGTGATTTATGCAAATCAGCAGAGGTACATTTTTAACTGATTTTTAAATATATAAGAATCTGTACAATAAATAATTAAAATTGCAAAGCTTACTAAGTCTTTCCTATGACAGAATAACAGAGTAAAAATATTTTAGTGAAACTTTAACCCCCTGCACTATAATGTCGGTACAGAATTTACAGAATAAAGAAAAAGCCTTATTTTAATGTAGCTGACTAGCGACGTAAGAATTGGATGTGCATAACATGCGATGTTGGTATTCATATTGCACATCATGCAGCCCTATAATATATTACAGCCATTTTTCAAATTCAGTAGAAAATACCCTACCTCACTTTGTGATGTAATTCGGTGCCAGTTTATAGACCAGTGGAAAACCAACACCTTGAAGTACCGTGCTTTCAGTACTTTCTCAAAATACCAAAGGTTCGGTACCTGGTGTGGTGGAAGAACGTCCATAGACGTAGAAGCAGCTGAGTACAGTAAGTAGAGGTCAGTAAAGACGAACTGGGGGTAGTAAGGTCAGGGTACTGGGTAGAGCAGTGTGCTGCTTGGATAGTTTGTTTTGATGGACCCATTTTTTTGGATTTTGTCAAACAACTTGCGCGCTTGTATATGTGTAATCATCGTGCATTGATTGGCATAGATTCCACCCTGACCCCGACCCTTATGGTATTTGAGTGTCAACCCTGGAGGGCACACCTGGGGAGATTATACAATTTATTGTTAGGGTGGAGGTACAACAGAGGCCATAATTCAATAAGAGCCCAACCTTATTAGCCCATGATATATTCTGAATTGGTGAGTGACAGGGGAGGGGCCACTCTGGGGGCCAATCAGCACTCTGGTGTCTGTCCCTCTCCCCCCCCTTTATATCCCTAGTATTATCCTGTGGATCAGCAGCTATCAGAGTTCCAATTGTGATCACTTCCTGTGTGTCTGACTCCCACCCTGCGTGTATGTTGTCCCTGCAACCACAGGACATGTTCTGCCTGTACACCCCTGGCGGAGGGGGTTATGGGAAGGAGGAGGGGGACCACGAACACGGGAGCGGGGACCCCCCAGCCAAGAGCATACGCCTCAGAGAGACCTTCTGGGAGAGAGGAAGTGTGTTTGATTACTGAAGAGCACAGGAGAGTGTGTGAGACACCCAATGGGTGCAATAAAATAATCCAACCAGAATCAAAATGCTTTTGTATGAGTTTATTTATCAAAAATACAGATTCTTTTTTGGGAAAGGGCAAAGTCGTTTTAATCAAGGCAGATTTCAAACCATAGAGAGATAAGGGGGGCATTTTTTGGTTTAGGTGTGCTTGTGTTAGGGATGAGACTCCCATTACGGTACTCTCTCGCTGCCCCCCCCTTGTGGCCAATCAGTTTTGGCCTTTCTCATGCCACAGAAATGTGCTCCTCACGTTCATCAAAGGCAGTGGGCAGAATTCCTTGGGGCAGCAGAGCGTTCAGCAAGATAAGAACCCAGCGGGGGAGGGGCACATGTTTTGGACCCCCACGGAGAGAGGGGGAGAATATGCAGAACGTCAAGCTGTCAGCTGAGTGAGAGGAATCAGCAGGAAACAAATGTAAAACTCCCCCCATCTAGGCAGTGAGGGTAAAGGCCCTTACACCAATAACAAAAGAGGCAGCATCACATTTATCAGGCTTCATTCACTGTTAAGACAGAGTATTCTATGTTGAGAGATCATAGCAGGACCTTATTTGTCAATCACATTTAGCATATCTGGCATATACATAAAAGGCATATTTAACTACTAAATTTCATGGGTGAACATTTGGAAGACCCAGGACACCCCTTCACCTAGTCTATGGTTCAGTCTCATGCAATTACCAATGCAGAGTTTTCCCACTGCAGGAGAACGAAGGGTGTGTCCAGGACAAAGTAACACAAAATATCACCTTTGCCTGAACATTATGGACCAGATGATTTGCCATTCACCACTGTCTTGGCCTTTCCACAGTCAACAGCATCACACCAAGTGCCTGTTAGCTGTTCAATCCATAACCATCAGCCTTGAAAACAATGAATTTACACACCTGGTCACTGAATTTATTATGTTTTTCTTCTGTGCTTACAGACCTGACCCACCGTCTGTAAGCACATACATAATCCAGATTGTGCACTGCTTTTGCAGAAATGCCAGAGGTCAGACAACAGAACCACTTAAGTCGACAACTGCTAGAAAAATGAATAACAGTCCTAACACACATATACTCAGCCCAACAGGAAAAACAGCCTGGAATCTGCCCCAATACCGGGTTTGTTGAAGGATGTGAAACTGCCCTCTCCTTAGATACCCTGTTTTCAAATAAAAATTCTTTCGAAACAATTAAAAACCCTGTTCACTCCAATATTCTTGTAATGAAACAAACACTTGAATTTAGCTTCTAAAATTAAAAAAAATATATATACACACACACACAGACCTCTTTGCAGAGAGAACCGAAAGATGTTTTAAGGCTAAGTTTTCACGTGGAGCTGATAGGCAACATTTATAAAAACTTCTCAAAAGCAGCACAAGATTGGCATTTATAGATAAAAGGAACAAAAAAAAAATAGTGCAAATGACAGCCGGTGCATGATTAATTGCATGCCCCCCAAAAAGTCACAAAGAATCATTTCCACAGGACTGATATTTACAACACAGCACACCTGGCACAACACACATGAGAAGATGGCGGAGTTTTTTTTTTTTGGAGGGGGGTCTTTGGCCATTGACTAATACTGAGGGTATCGAGTCTGGATGCCATACTGCCCCTGCGTTGGGTGAGGTGGGGGACTGGTGGGACTGAGGACATCAAACACACTCTTATTGGGAGGCACTGATTGCAGCAGCCGGTCCAGGTCCATCAAGAGGGGTGGGGGCTGCAGGGGGACACTCCCACTGGGGAGGAGGGGCCAGTAGGAGTGGCCTACATAGTGACCAGGTGCAGCCGGCGGGCCCCGATAGCTGTAGTACGGAAGCCCCCCTAGGGGCAAGAAGGGGCCTCCACTGAAGCGCATGCTGGGTGGGGCCACCGCATTAGGGGGCGTGTACTTGGCATAGGAAGTTGGAAGTTCCCATGGGGGGGCAGAACCCCTCCTGGAGGACTTGTGCACGGGTGGGCGGCAGTCCTCATAACCATCCCCATCAGGTCTGCGTTTACCAAGGTGGGAACCTACCCTCCAGTCATCATCTGAGGAGGAAGAAGCGGGGCTAACAGAGCTTGCAGAGGCACTGCGGGCAGATGAAGAGTACCTGGGGGCCTGAGGGTGCCCCCTCCAGCTATCCCTAACCCTATCCCCCTCCCCAGGCAAGCTGGCAGGCCGCAGGCTGTGCAGAAGCGAGTCAATGGCAAAGGAGGAATCAAGCTTGGGTCGATACACCTCCTCCAGCGGTGGTGGCGCCGCCCTTGTGGACAGAGGGGGTGTAGTCTCCTTGTGATCATGGCCATGTAGGATGTATGGGGCCAAGTCCTGAGCAAAGATGGTCTCGTCTTGACGGGAAACAGCCGTGTTCTGCCTCTTCAGCAGCTCCAGGGGAACCCGGCTCACCTCCACTGCCCAGAAGTTTCCCTTCCCCTGTGGTTTCCCAGGGTCCTTCAGTACCTGGGAATTCAAGTCGGAAGAAAAATGTCAGAGCGAGTCGCCACCCACCTGCATCAGCCTGAAAGAGGCCTGCAAAATGGGATTAGATCCACAAAAAAAAAAAAAAAAAAAAAAAACTGGAATAACCAGATCGAACAAAATACCCTGCTGGTCCTACGTACTCAGGAAAGGTATTTTTTGGGTTTCCTGGCTCACCTTTACGAAGCAGTCGTATGAAGAGAGATTGTGTCGTACTGAGTCCTTCCAGCCCTTATAGTTTCCCTTAAAGAATGGGAAGAGTGTGCTTATCTCCTTAAGAATCTGCCAGGGGAACAGAGAGAGACAGAGAAAAGGGGACAGATTATACATCTCATTCCATTCAAAGTTAGTCACGCAGGTGAAAAAAAAATATATATCCCATACACTACTACAAGCTATTATAGCACAGAAGAGTTTCCTCATTAACACAATACAACGCGACTGGGGAAAGTGAATAGTGAGACAAGACAAGAGGCATCAGCAGAAGACTGCACTCAGGAAGGGGTGGTAGTAGTGGGGGCAGACCACAAAATTAAAACTCTGCTCCAAAACCTGCTGCTATCTGACATCCCCAGCAGAACAGGATACAGACTCTCCTTATCTACCGGCACATTCCATTGAAGCCCAAATCACTTCACACCCAGCCCCTCACAACCTGGCTTATCCACAAGGAAACCAATGCCAACATTGTCCAAAAACACAGCATTAAATGCCCAAACTGACACATGCTCACAATCACTGCCACCTGAATGTCTCCCACTTTGGCAGTAATTATTTGCCAGACCGCTTTCAGATAACCTGACGCGTTTAGATTCTTGGCAAGTCCGCAGGGGCCCCTAAAGACCCTGCCATGTCCCTCTGGTTCTCATTCACATGTTGCCCTTGCGTCATGTCACCTGGTACCAGAAGTCCTTATACAGGACCTCCTTTTTGTAAGGAGGATGGGTTCTTATTCCAGTGAGTTGCTTCAGAATCATGAGCTCTTTAAATGCTTCTCAACACTCACAAAACCGACCTCAAAAGCTTAACTAGAGGTTTAAAAAGGCTGAGCAGGCAGGTGAGCAAAACATGACCACTTTACATAAACCAAACTTGCTCCAGTTTGATTGTTAGACATACATCAGTTGATAACGTACTCATAACTACTAATTCATTTGTCCGCTGAAAAGTTAATGATCTACTGAAAGGGATACTAGTATATTTGTTTTAGCAGAGTTACTATATAGAAGCGAGAACAGAGCAATTCAAATGTACTTTACACTACGAAGCCGGTCACATGGGACTGTCGCGCGTGAGTGATCACCCGCTCGTTTGTTTGCATAGGTGCGGGGTCTAAGAACAAGGGGTGCCATCCCCAAACACTAGTCACATCTACAGCAATAATAAATCCAATTCCCGATATGATTCACTATATTTGCACCGGTTATTTTAAAACAATGTTTTAAATTTAATTTGAAACCCTATTAAGGCTAGGCCAAACCCATCATCCTAGCATAAAAAAGTTGAAGGATGAATATTCATCATCATTCATGATCGACGACCTACGACGAATCGTTTAAAGTGAACCCAGTTATAAAGTCAAAGTAGTAAATTTTGTTTTAATTGTCTTACCTGTGATAAGGTGAGCTTCTTCTCCGGGGAATTCTGGATAACCATGGCGATCATTGCCAGGTACGAGTAGGGTGGTTTAGGGTAACGCTGGTAGTTCTTCTTCCTGCTGCTGTTCTTGGCGTTTTCCTCTTGGTCCCATGTGGTACGGTGACTTTCTTGCGCATCTTCACTCGCAGGAGCCGTGTAATACGAGGCCGGGTGACGGTCGTAGGCCTCGGGCATCGCCGGGTCCATGGATGCCTTGACCCCGATAGCTGTTGCAGAAGCACGCAGATCCTCCGACCAGGAGGGCTCCTGAGCCGGCCAGGTGCTTGGGTAGTTATTCCAGTGTGGGGCCGGGGACCTCAGCAGTATGCTGTTCTGGGGGTACCTCGAGTGTGCATTGCTGTCTAAAGGAAAACCAAGGTGATGGTCCTCTTTCGTTTCTAGACAAGTGGGACGGTATGCGGTGACGGGTGGTGCCAGCATGCTATGACCCCCCCAGTGCTTTGTCATGCTGATGAACAGGGGGGCAAATTGGGCTGCCGTGGACCCACACTGGAGGAGGAAGAAGGGTGTCGGTCCTTAACCGCCGGCAGACTGCTGGCTCCACTCGACTCTATTTGAAGAACAAACAATTAACAGTTTCATGTAAATCCCGCAGAGTAATCGAGAAGAGAATGGAGCGCTATCTAAGGGCAGATTGACTGATCGCACCAGGGGTCCAGGGACGTTTCTGCGTGACAGAGACTGTAAATCTTTAAATAGATCACTGATAGATATAAAACAGAAAGGTTTTAAGAGGGTTTGCGTTTCGTTTTCCAGCAACGCAACAGTGCAAGGAAAGATGCAATACAGGCCTATATGCATTACGTTATGTTTAGTTAACTGAATTGGTTAAATTTTAAAGTTATATACGCCTTCCCACCCTCATTCCATTTCCAAAGGGGTCGGGGGGGACGAGGGGGTTGTGGCG